CAACCACCCGCCACGCCACCATGGGAAGCCACGCCTGTTCCCACCCTGCCCAGCCGCCAGGACCCACTCAGTAAAGCAGGGCTTCCCTGCCGCTGGTCACACCTTCTGCGGCGTAGGGACACTCTGCGACATCCTCAGCGGAGTGGGGATCTCCCCGCAGTGGCCGGGGAGGCGCTCGGCTGTGCAGGTGGACAGTGTGGACCAGGAGCAGTGAGCCCTGAGCTCGTCCGGCCAGTGTGTGGGGGCCTGTGTCCCGGGCAGTGCAGGCGACGCGTCACGCGGGTCCCCTGTGCCCTTGGGTCTCGCTGCGGCCGCTTGTTGCACTTGGTGTTAAGTACACTCTGTTCTGCCGTCTTCATGACCTCACCAAGAGCAGAGTCCGACCAGTGAAACAGCCGTTGATCTCCAACACGCCTCGTTTTCGCATGTCTCTACCCCGGGAGGCAGAGATTTCTGGACATTCAGCCGGTCCCAAAGCCTGGCTCTGTCACAGCAACACGCTGTGTTTTCGAACGGGGACGTGACTCCTCGGACGTCAAACAGGCGTGTTCCAGCCCTGACCTGCTCGTCGGAGATGCCGCCCACGGGGCCAGTGCTGGGCCAAGATGTGCGTCTCCGTTCTTTTTCAACTTCATTTAATCTGACTATTATTTTTAAATTTGCTATAGGGCGTGTGTGCTCAGCAGATAGAGAGAGAGAGCTGGAGAGAGACAGAGACAGAGAGGAAGTGAGAAAGCAAGCCACTGGGTCCAGGAGAGGCCGACCATGAACGGCCGTGTGGGCGTCCAGCGCCTCAGCCACCACGCCACCTGCCGGCCTCGCTGTTCTTGACTGGAAACTGCCCGGCCTTTCGCCCATTGCCACCGACATCGGGTGGGCAGTAGGGCTGTCCCGAGGGCCTGGGTGGCCTCTGAGCGTGGGGCGGGGCTCTCAGGGCCAGGACGTTTCCAGGAGGCAAAAGCACAGACAACTCCGGCCCACACACGCGCACCGCCCCCCAGGTGACTCACCGCGTCCTCGGGGCTCCCGGTGCTCGTTTCCTGGACCCGCAGCAGAGCCTTCCGGACTGGCAGGCTATGCGTCTCGGGGTTGAGGGAGGGGTCGTGGCCTTGCATCTCGGGGCCCATTGGGATGGGGCTGGAGTCCTTGCCACGGGAGGGCACCGGGGAAGGGCGGGGCCTGGTGCTAGACAGTACGCTCCGCCGCACCTGGGCTGCGCTGGCCCTCAGCCGCTCTGAGGGGCGTGCGCTCTCAGCCGGCCTTCGGATCCCAGCTCCTGAGCAGGAAGGTGAGGGTCTCTGATGTCACGGCCAGCCTAGGACTTGTGACTTCCTAGGGAGGCTTAGAACGGCTGGGGCAACAGGTGGCACACGACCAAGGCACTGGACTGCCACATGGCCAACTGCGGTTCGAGTCCCGTACCTGACAGATCGAAATTCACGCCGGGCGCGTGTGCATGTGTGCCCAAGATCCCGAGAGGAGAGTGGAGGAGGGTTTGCAGCATGGCCATCACAGCTGGGCAGTGAGTTCTCACTTTCCCCCTCACTGTCTCAGTCTCTCTGGCAAGCACACACGCCCCATAGCAAAAGTCTCTCAAGAGAGAGAGAAAGGGAAAGGAAGGGAGGGAGGAAGAGCAGGGAAGCACAGGCTGGGCTCCTGGAGCCGCTGGCCGCTGGCCACAGTGCTGACGCCCCACCCTGAGAGCCGTCTTTGGACCCAGGCTGGTCCTGGTGGCACCAGGACCCTCACTGGGCCACCCTGAGTCACTCTGATGACTCCACAGGGCACCGACCACACACAGGCCCACCCGTGGGGACCACGGGCCTCAGACATCCCACACCCCAGAGCCTGCCATCAGCGGTGGCCTGGGATGGCCACAGATGGGGCTGCTGTTCCTGTCCCCGCACTGTTGAGTGGTCCCCTCCCTCCTGGTCTCTGTGGCCCGGTGTCCAGGGGCTGCCCACCGGCAGGCCTGGAGGGATGGAGTGGGTACCAGCAGGCCTCGAGGGGCCTACATGGGCATAGGCAGCCAGTGGAGGTGGTTCCTGCATCCGACCCCCTGTCCTCCATGGGACCCTGTGCCTGGTTGGCCTGGCCTTGTCCCGCCCCGGCCCAGGCCCTGTCCTGCTGTCCTGCTGAGCAGCCTCATGTCACATCCAGCTGTGGTCTCTGTCCCTTGGCCCCTTGCTGACAGCTCTGCACAGACCAGAATTCGGGGGGCAGGGCCGCATGTCCTGGGCTGCATCTTCAGCCGCCGTGGCCCCCGAAGGAGGCTGCAGGCTCCGTGGGCACCTTGTGTGTGCCCACGGCTGTATTCGCTCACCGTCCGCGGACAGACAGGATGGCTGTCTCCCACGTGCCCGTGGGCCCATGCTCGGAGATGGCACGGCGGGGCGGGGCGGGGCGGGACCTCCTGGCCTCAGCCTCGACGGCCGGTGGGTGCGGGCCCGCGGGCACTAACTCTGGCGTTCTTCTCTTGCAGATGAGCTCACAGTGCCCGCACTTTACCCCGGGAGCCCTGAGCTGTGGGCCCCGTACCCTCTGTACCCGGCGGAGCTCGGGCCTGCTCTTCCTCCTCCTGCCCTCACCTACCCTGCTTCACTGCATGCCCAGGTAATCGCCCCCGGCCACGGCCTCACGCACCACAGCCCTCCAGACCTGCCCCGCACACCTAGACTAACACCCCCGGCTAACGGCTCCGCCCAGGAGGTTAAACCGGATTTAACGGGGGCCTCCGGCAGTGACCGCACCCTGCCTGATGTCCAGCGACACCTCTTCCTGACCTCACCTCGTGTCACCCCCCAACAGGCCAGCTGCCCCGGCCCCCAGTGAGCGGCAGGGCTGCCAGTGTAGGTGTGTGCCTGGTGGGGCAGGCTGCGGGCGCCCTGGTGGCAGGAGTGGCATGTGTCTGCGAGTGCCTGTGTGTTGAAGGGTCCCCGCGTGCGTGGTCATGAACATCAGCCACCCTGGGAGAGACAGGGCTGGGGCCCTGCACGTCATAGAGTCGGGGCAGAACACAGCCCGAGGTTGGGTCGGTTGAAGTGGGGTCGGTCGGTAGGACCACTCCTTCTCGGTTAGGGTCCACCTGCGTCTCCCAACAGCCCCTGCTTCTCCATGGAGCTTCCCGTCTGCCGTGGAGAAAAGTCCCTCCTGGCTTGGCTTAGTGTGAGCGTGGTGCTCAGTGCTAGGGCTCACCGTGGGGTGAGCAGTGGCCATGGCGGGGGACAGGCAGGGCGTGGTCATCATGGTGTCACTGCCTGTGAGCAGTGTGGTCCCACCAGTGTGCTGTCGGTGGTTCTCCATGCCCAGCTGAGTGACTGAGCTGCACCAGACACCCTGACGAAGACCCTCCCATGGTGCAGGGCTCGCTGCGTCAGTCACCTACAGGCGGCTCCAGCGAGGGCCTCAAGCCGGGTCAGGAGTGAAGCTGCCACGCAGCCTCCCACTGTCCGACCGTGGAGCTCGGGCTCGGGGCGCCTGCCCTGGGGTCGTAGCTGAGAGGAGGACAGAGAAGTGCCCAGGGAGGAGGGGACCTCAGGGGGTGGGGACTGCCTGGCCAAGAAACCGCTGGTGGGGCACTGTTGTGCTCCTGCCCCGGTCGCCTGTCTGGCGGTCGGGGACCCTCACTGCTGGCCGGGGACTGGGATGGGGGCGTGAGCCTGTGTGTGCTGCTGGGTTCTCACCTGCCCGTGGGGGCCGTGGCTCTCAGTAGAGGTGGACCGAAGAAAGGGCCCCTTTGTCCACCACCCCGCCCCTGCCCCTGCAACCCGATGGCACGCAGAATCCTGAAGAAGCCGATGGAAGCCGTGTAGATTTCACAACGCACGCACCAAACTGGTCTCCCACTGTCCCGCCGGCTTCCTGAAACCCCAAGCGTCTCCGCGTGGTCGCTGCCCAGGCGCAGGCACCGACGGGTGCTCGTGGGTGTATGGCCCTGCAGAGGCCACTGTCCTGGCGTGCGGCTTGGCTGGCAGTGGCCCCTCTTTCCCCTGGGAGGACACACTTGAGGTCCCGACGTCCCCTCGCAGTGGCGTCTGGCTAGGTCTGGACTAGCGAGCGGGTGGGACAGGGCAGGCCTGCTGAGTAGAGCCCACACCTCGACAAGGAGCACAGGGGGATGGCGCCATGCTGGCAGTGGGCCTGGCACGCCAGGTGCCCACGGCACCGAGGCCCCCCCAGGTTGGACCAGCTGCCTGGCAGTCCGGGGTGGGGGACCCCTCCTGGCTCTGGGTTGGAGACAGCGCAGGGTGGTCTTGGACTCCGTACGCTGAGGCCAGTGGACGGACCGGTCAGTTACCAGTCCAGTGTGAGGATCAGGAGGACCCAGGAGGCCTCGCGGTCCGCCGAGGCCTGAGAAGATGGGTCCCCCCGCCGAGGTACTGCCCGTGACGCCGCTCCCCGCGATGAGCCGTGGGAAGGGCCCCCCAGACCCCCACTAGAGATGGGCCTGGAGGACCGACGTGGAGCTGAGACGGAGCCCGAGACCCTCTACAGCTGGAGCGCAGGGAGCCCGCAGGCGCGGCGCAGGGCGGAGCGCCGTGTGTCTGGAAACTGCAGCCGGTCTTCGGAGCAGCTTTTGAGTGTGCCTTCCAGCGAGGCGGTGCCGGTCCTGAGCCTGGGTTCTTTTCCTTCCAGTGTCTGTCCCCCGAGGCCAAGCCCAGCTCGCCTGTCTTCTGCCCCCTGCTCCCGCAGGTTAGGCTGCTCTCGGGGAATGTGTTTGTGACCTGCCCGCCTCCTGCAGACCAGCAGAGGGAGCTCCCGTGCTGACTTGGCTGTTCGCGGTCTGTGGGCCCCCTGGCAAAACTATTTCTTGGTGACATTTCAAGAGATTTCAATAAAAGTTTCCATCAGAGTTGGGCTGTGGCCTTCTTTCCACGGCGGTGTGTTAGGAGCTAAGGCGTGGCACCTGGGGCTGATGGGAGCCCAGACCTGTCACTGCGGACATCGGCCCCCGCCAGCGTGTCCTGCCTGGGGAGGGCGTTGCCACTGCGCGGAGCCTCAGGGCCACTCCTGGGCGCCAAGCACGCCACGCCGGAAGAGTCTCAGCGCCGCCTCCTCGTCCCCCCTGGAGATCGCACAGCAGGGACCGTCTGACTAGCGGGTGCTGTTGGAGACAGACGTGCTGCCGCTGTGACTCAGAGCAAGAGGACCAGACATGGCCCGTCCTTGAAGAAGTTGGCTCCGCTGTGGACTGCCCCACCCAGAGTCCCCGCTGTCACTTGGAGGTGCTGTGGGCTGTCCCTCTGCAGGGCTCGCAGGCCGACAGGACCCGCACTCCCGGCGGAGAGGTGGGGTGACTGGTGCGCTGCCTTCTTGGCGCAGCGTGTCTCTGGTCACTGGCACGTGCAGCACTGTCCCCTTGCCAGTCGCGTGAGCCTCAGCGAGGAGGCGGGTGGGCCCAGACACCTGCTGGCCGGCACTGGGTGTGCGTCCCGGCCGAGTTGGGCACTAGTCCTGGTGCTGGCGGGCAGTCGGGCAGTCGGGAGGGGAGGCCGGCAGGGCGCCCTGTCCTCACCCCCCCCTAGAAACGCGGCACATCTCCAGAGTCAGCCAAGCGTCAGCCTCTTCGGGTCTGCAGACAAGCGAAGCCCCGGCTCCCCGGCTCCCCTTGAGGCCTCGGTTTCTCCGAGCAGGGCCGCTCTTTGAGTCCATCTGGGGCTGCGGCCCAGCCTGGGGTGTGCGTGGAAGGGCTTCCAGTCATCACCAGACTTCGGGGGGATACGTGCTCCTTGGGAGGGCCCTTGTGACACTGGATGATGTCCTCAAGCTTAACCCACATAAGGACAGAGCACAGCCTGGAAAGAGGCAGGCAGGGCAGGGCAGCCATGGAGGCAGGAGGGTGTCAGCCTGGGCCGTGCAGCCGGCCACGGGCGCGCCAGCTGGGGAGGACCCTGCCGGCCTCTGCCGGCCTGCCTTGGGGGGGGGCGCCGGCCAGTGCCCGTGGGGCCAGCTCTGGGACCCGGGGAGGGCTCCAGCACCGGGCCACGCTGGCCGGCCTGGCAGAAGGCAGGAGGGGTAGTCTTGGGCGCTGTGGTCACATCGGGTCATGTCAGCTCCTACCCTGCCCCAGACCTGGGTCCTGGGCATGTCTCCCTGCTGTGCGGGGGCCGCTGTTTCAGGTACTGGTGGAGCTGCCACTTCTCTGGCGGCCGTGAGGTTCAGGATGGGAGGTGTGGTCCCTGGTGCCGTGTCCACGAAGGGTGGCCCTGAGCCCCCAGGAGCTCACGCCGTCCTCTGTGCTCCCTCATAGCTTCCTGCCAAGAGACCATCCCAGCCACTTCACAGCTGCTGCAGCGGGACCACGGCAGCCTGCACCCTTCCGCAGTGCTCTGCGTCCTCGCGAGTCCAGGAGTGACAGGCAGTGGCGGGGACGGGAACCCAGTCGAACCGCCTGCCCACGCGTGGCTGGTCACTCGCTGCCATGAGCCTCAAGGCACAATCCCGTGGCCTCACTGGCTCCAGGAGGCGGGGATGGGGTCCCTCATGCGCCTGCACGCCGGGAGTGCCAAGAAAGCGTGTTCCATCTTTCAGCGTGTTTTGTGAGCACGGGGTGGCACGGCTGGGTCTCTGAGCTGAGTCCTTGCTCAGCCGTGTCCTGGGCGCACCTGAGCTGGCATACTCAGGGTGTCCCCGGACGTGGCCTGCAGCCCAGGTGGACCAGCAGCAGAGTCGTGGGGCCCGGGGCCTAGCCCGTGCTGTGGCTGCCTCATCCTCCTCCCCTCCAGGGAGCCCCAGCCCTGCCACCCTGCTGGGCTTCCCCAGACGGGGCATCCTCTCCTCCTTCTGCCAGGGCCTCCCAGCCTCACCCCAGCAAGTATGGCCCTGCCACCCCACGTTCACTCTGCAGAAACTGGCCCTGTCCTCCTGGGCCTCCAGGGGAGCAGTGAGCCCTCCTATCAGGGCTGCCTGGCGTGAGGAGCCACAGAAACCGGAGCTGTCTCTGGTGTGTGCCTGGGACCCCAGCCAGGCCGCGGCCTGCAGAGGCTTCCCCAGGACTCACTGAGGCTGCGGGCCGGCACGCCTGGGCTCTATGTGCTGCCCTGGTCCTCCCGGCTCTGTGTGCTGGACACCCTGACCCTGGTCCATGAAGGCCCAGGAGGGCCGAGCGTCAGCACCTGCCATCTCAGCGGGACTGTGGGTGGCCTGGCACCGAGCCGGGGCCAGGCAGGTTGGGGCAGGATTCTCCCGAACCCCCGGTTTTGCCCTGGGTCCTCCTGAGGGAGGGAAGGCCGCACCCTCCCACGGGCTTCCTCGGTGCAGGCCTGGGTGGGGTTCCGTGCCCAGGACTCCCTTTGGGGGAGAGCTGAGCCCACCAGGACTGGCCTGCGCTGGCCCTGCGGGGAGGTCTGGGGTTCCGGCTGCTCTGAGCACCCCAGGCCGCGGCGAGCGGTGCGCGGGCGGAGCTTGACGAGAGCAGCTGTGACAGGAGGGCCCGGAGCTCATGCTTTATTCAGGATGAGCTGCCGCGGTGGCGGGAGGTGGGCGGGAGGCGGGCAGCCCCCTCCCACCCCGCGTCCTGCACGAGGCGGTCCTCACCTCGCTGTGCTCCGCTCTTGGGACCTCTAATGGGCCTTGACCGCGCACGTGGTTAAAAATGAACTTGAAATGGGGACGCCGCGCCGCCGCTGCGGGCTCCGCCTGACACAGGGCGTTACACGCTCGGGTGCCCCGGCCTGCCTGGCGTCTCCGGGGAGCGCTGAGATGTCTGAGCGCATTTCACATGCCTGCCTGGCAGCGGCGGACGGACAGCAACAGAAGGCCCGGGAGAGCAAATTACGAAGGTTACGTTTGAGCTGAGCGAGGAGGCTGCCACGTCCAGGGACCTGGCCCCGAATTCTGGACCTCCCTGCACCGGCCGGCTCACCTCCACTGGGCTGCTAGGGCAGGCAAGAGGGCGGCCTCACCATCCTCGTGTTCTGCCAGAGCATTGTGTCCACCTGCCCCCCACGAGAAAGCAGGCGGCTGTGTGGGTCCAGGGTCTTCACCTGCACAGCAGGGCTCCCCGGGACGGGTGGCACAGCTCTGGGGGGCGCACTGTGACTGGCCCTGAGGGGGGCCGTCCCAATGAACGGCAAGGCCTCCCTCCCTGGGCCAGATCCTGCTGGAGCCCCAGGGTTTCTGGAGCAGCAGGGCGGGGGTGCCAGCCTGGGGGGCGCACCTCGCTCAGGTAGGGCGCCCAGGGAGCCCAGGTTGCCTGGCAGTGGTGGGAAGTGCTGGGACTGCACCCCGGAAGCTGACTTGTCCCCAGATGGAGCCTGTTCTCTAAGGTCCCGGTCCAGGGACAGCTGTGAGCTGGGTGCTGGCGACCACTGGGACTGGACGGGCACCTGCGAGTCTGTGTCTCAGCCTGACAACCCCCTCAGGCCTGCAGCCGCCCCCGCACTGAGGCTGCACATGGGCTGTAACCGGACCGAGGCCTTCTCCAGTCTGGGGTCTTCTCGGGCTCTCGCGGGTCTCCACGGCTGGTCTGTACCTGGGTCCGTGGAAGGGTGCGGCGGGCGTCCTCGGCCTGTGCTGACCGGTGCAGCCTCTGCTCTGGCCCACATGGTCCGAGGCAGTCAGGGAGGCTTTGCCACCCTTGGGGTGCACCCACAGTCCAGGGCCACATCGACAGCACGCATCGGTCTCTGTTCCGTTTCTCGAGCAGGGGTGGCGCCGGGACTGGCTCTAAAGGGAGGGTGTGCTTTGGTTCTTTCAGCGCC